CATCACTAGTGATAATGTCTTCATTCAATTGATTCAACGTTTGCTGAAACAGATATCGAGAGACTCTGTATCGACAGGAAAGGCATTTCACGGTATAAGCGCTTCCATGCAATTCAATCACGTGTTCAGCGCCGGCCCTCTGATGCAGTCGATCCACGTTTTGGGTCACAATTGTCTGCACTTTCTTCCGTCGCTCCCAATCGGCCAAACATTTGTGGCCAACGTTTGGCTCAAAACTACTAAAACGAGTCCAACCTTTCATTCAAACAAAAAGATAAATGAGTGACAAAACAAAAGCCCAAACGTGAAGAAAGCGCTAACAAATACCGCAATAATTTCGGGCCCAATATCTTCTCCGGATGCCATCGCTGGCCACGAAGTCCTGGTGTTGAATGGGTTTGTGTCCCCTCCGGTCGTAGAGTCCGACCCCTTCTGACCGGTAGTCGGGAATCCCGCTCTCGGTTGAGATGCCGGCGCCCGTCAGCACCACTACTCCCTCAGCCGTTGAGGCCATGAACTCACGCAACGCTTGTATCTCATCGGCGGTCGACTTGTGGTGTTTGGGAACAAATTCGGTGACAAATGTATGCAATGGTCGACACGATTGGCGAAACATTTTTCAACGCATTTTTAATCACTTCTTTATTTTTGACAATCAATTTGATTGCAAATTGTATTCACAAACAAATCATATGTTTTTTATTTACACACAAAACGGCACTAAAAAAGTGCACGTCTTTTATGAATAGCCAAACAATGACTCAAAAATGAGGCAAACATTTGGTTTGCGATAATTGTTATCAGATTTTCATTGTTTTTGTGAATCAAATGAATCGCCAATTATTTCAATACTTTTTGCTTTTCAAACAATTTGTAAACTTTTAATACAAAAGTTTGTAAATATATTGTAATAGTTTAGTGGCATTTGTGAGTCTGTAATGATTACACTGTAATCGTATGAATAGTTTTCAACATAAAGTTTTGCCCCAAAATGTGTTGACACAAGTGTTAAGACGACTGAAGTGTGCGTTCAATACATAAACACTTTATTTCATAACTTTTATAATGGATTTTGTGTTCATTTGTTTGATAACAATGTCTGCAATGCTTTCCATTCACTTCTATCGCAAACTAATGCCACAAATAATGGCCAAAAATGGCCACTTCTTCACGTGGTTTGCCATCAATAGACCTCATGAGGCCATTAGGCGACAAGTATTCAGACAGCTGTCCACCGGTGATGACAGCGGCGGCAGCGGTGGTAGCGATCGGTCGACGACTGCCCGCATATACACCCGAACCGGAGATAACGGCAGTTCTGGTCTCTTCGGAAGCGGCGATCGGCGCCCGAAGAATGATAGCGTCTTCGAGGCGTTGGGAACCGCCGACGAGTTGTCGTCGAGTATTGGTTTCGCGCGAGAGTTCGTCACAATCGCTGCCATCGACGAAGAGTTGGAGAGAATTCAATGCATTTTACAAGAGTTACAGTCAAACATAGCGACACCGAAGACCACATCCAACCCATCGTTGATCGCGAAGACCCGATGGAACCGAAACTATTTGATTGATTTGGAGAGAGATATCGACTCTCACTCACAGTCGTTGCCGCCCCTCAAGAACTTTATCCTTCCGGTCAGTGATTACCACTTTATATGTGTTTTGTTTATTTGTATTAATGTTTGTCTCATTTTTACCGGTGATGACAGTCTGGAGGGAAGGCGAGCGCAGCTCTCCATATGTCTCGAGCCATCTGTCGAAGAGCTGAACGACAATTAGTGCCCCTTTTGGACGAAGGACTGGAACTACCGGTTCTTCAATACCTGAATCGTTTGAGTTCTTACTTGTTTACAATCGCCAGAGTCTGTGCTCTCAATGACCGCAAACCGGAGACCATTTACAGGAGACAACTGTCGGTCGAAGACTCGGAAGATTCATAAAATGAACGCTTTATTTGATTGATAACAAAACTAATTGACATTATTTACAGACGAGAAATACATTTAAACAGTTTATTTGTGATAATATTTTTTGCTATAGAAATCAAAATACTAATTATGTAGTGATATATTAAATGCAATCACAGACACAACTAATGATTTGGTTTTCGAGTAAAATCTCAAAACCATTGTGTGATTAATGCGAAGGGAAAATACTTTTTGTTAAATATCATACACTGGTTGTTGTGATCCTCAAGTGCTTAACTCGAATCCTGTGATCTCTCATTCTTCACACACAAAAACATTTAATATTTAGTGATTTTCTGAGATTTTTATTTTTGTAACAAATAAAATATTTTTGCATACATTTTCTGCTCTTATAATTACGATAAAAATTGTTTATTACGGTAATTATGAAAATATGATAATATTAACAGATATCGATGTGAGAGAGTAATGAACTAATGGTTTCCATTATGTTATGGCTTTTTCTTAGGAGATGTCGGCTTTTTGGTGACGTTTTTCTCATCCCGTTTCTCGTCTTTTTTGTCTTTCTTCTGATCGGAAGTCTTTTCGTTTGGTTTTTTGACAGTTTTTGTGTCCAATTGATCCATTTGTTGCCACGGAAGGGACCCCTTCGGCGGTTCCGGTTTGTATTTGTTGGCAATCTTCGGCGGTGGCTGTGGTTGGGGTTGAGTTTGCGGTTGTGGTGGAGGTGTGACCGGCTTTGGTTGTGTGGGCACAGCCTTCTGTTCCATGAGATCCCTTTCCCGGGCCCTTAACTTATCCTCTAATTCATTGGTTTGTTTAAATACCGAATCCATTAACGAATCCATTTGTTGCTGATATCTGTTGCGAATCTTCTGCAACTCTTGTTTGGCTTTCAGTACATGCTTTTGTTCGATGTCTTCGCTGGTAGTGATGCTGTCCTTCGAGAGCTGTTCCAACTTCTTATTCAACTCGTCTTTGAGTTTTGTTTTGTCAAACATTTCTTTCATTCTGTAATTCTCTTCGATTTCCTTCTCTTTTATATTAAATAAATTGATTTCTGTTTGCAATTTCACTGAGAATTCGTTTGTATTATTTTGTCGATCCTTTTGTATCAAAGACTGTGTCTCGACATCAATCCTAATCTCATCTCTGGACAGATCCTCTTTCAATGTCTTCAACTGTTGTCTCAACTCAAGCGTCTTCTTCTTCCGCTCTTCTCTCAATTGATTCCAGAGTTCGGCGTTTTCTGACATTTTGTGCACAAATTTTTGAGTAATATTTTAAACTCTTTTTAACGTCTTTCAAATCAGTTGTATTTTAAATAAATCAATCAAATGTAAAGTTAAGTAAAAGCGAGACAAACAATACAAGAGTTTTACATCAAAATTACTGTTATCTAGATATTAGTGTTGAGTCTGAGCTGTAAATTGAATGTCAAATACACTGAACTTCTCTCACTCTACAGTATGTTCACATGAATTGAATTCAAGCATTCATTCATTAATTCGCGTGAAATTCAATTCACAATTGATTTTTGAAAATTGAAACCGAATTCAAGTCTAAACACTATTTTATGTGTTAATCCTTTGGAGATATTCTTTGAGACAATTGATTCGTGTCTTCGCTTAAGTCATGACAACTATAAAGCAATTGATTGTATTCTGTGTTTTGGCTCAAGTGGTGAAGAGTGGACCAGATCTGTGTCAAAACGGCGCTTATATAGACTCAATGACTTTAATCCCGAAGAACACGACATTTTTCTTCACGAGTGGCGGCTTTTATTGGCTTCAATCCAATTACGCCATTACAGTCACAACTCCTGGATTAGCTCTGCCATCGGGTTTCACGAGAGGAGACGCGGCTGTGTATGTGGACTACACCGCTATCAACGGCTGTAACGGCACTAATATGGGCCACAAAGTGGTCCATTTGATCGAAATGACACCCAATGGGAATCAATTGGTCACATATGACACCGAAACCGAAAAATGGACGGCAAACGCCGTTGACTTGAAGGCCGATCCCATCTTCTCCGCGGCTAAACTTGATTTGAACGACAGAATTGACGCCACATTTCTATACGACAAGACAAATGTGGTTATCTTCCAACAAAGACAGTACGCTGTGGTCGACATCACCAATATCTGCGCCAATCGCTCTTCTGTGGGATTAGCGGCCAATTTAGTGGTCGATATCGCTAAAGGTATTAATGGCGCGAAAAGGGTGAGCGCCGTCACATATAGCTATTTGATGGACCCAAACACCAACATCACGAGTGCAAAGCCAGCATTGCTTCTGTTCCAACACCCGTCGTATTGGGAACTACAGACGCCCTCACTCTCTAACGGCAAATTGACGGCTACTTTGGGCGCTGAAATAGATTTGTTTACCACTTTCTTCCATTTCAGCAAAAATCAGGGCAATTGTTCAGCCAATGCTCCGCCCACTGAAGCCCCGTTACTACCGCTCGATACTACCAGTCCTTTGCCATCTGAAGCCGAAACTGAGCCCAACATTGTTACTCCGTTTCCAACCAAAGCCGACAGCAAACCATATGTTTGGATAATTATTGTCATTATAGTTGTGATCGTAATATTGATTGCCATTGTTTTGTGCGTCTGTTTGTCGGCCAAAAAGTCACCGGACAAAGAAGCGGGCGCTGAGACGGGTTCGGGACCGCCTGATGCGGGCGTTGACGCAACCGGTGGGCCTTCAATGGCTCAAACTTCGACAATGGGTTCGAGTCCGTCGGCGATGTCTGTGCGCTCGACTACAGGAGCCGGCGGTGCGGGCGCTGCAAACACGCCCTCATTAGGCAAAGAGTCAAACATGGGTTCGAGTCCTTCGGCGATGTCTGTGCGCTCGACTGCCGGACCGAAACCACAAGTGTCCTGAACTTTATCACTCAACGACACCAATGTCTCAACACATATAGACAATTGATTTATTCTGTTATTAAAATTAATTAGTTTTTAGTATTTAATTAAATTTCTGATTTTTATTTCCTATTATTTTATTTGATGTAAAAATAATTTTTAAATATTATATTTCATTAATTTATATTTTAATAAAACTTTAATACAATTTATTTGATTCTTAAATGCAAAATAAGCTGTAAATTGAATGTCAAATATACTGAAGTCACTTAAAACCTCTCACTCTATAACTAGTAAGGGCTAAATTTACACTGAGTGTAAATTTCAATGTAAAAAATGACTGGTTATAATGCATTTTTTTTATTGCGCCCATACTAGCTCTATAACCATATGAATTGAATTCAAGCATTCATTCATTAATTCGCGTGAAATTCAATTCAAAAACTAATTGTTAAAAATTGAAACCGAATTCAAGTCTAAACTGTTTTATGTATTAATCCTTTTGAAGATATTCTTTGAGACAATTGATCCGTTTCTTCGCTTAAGTCATGACAACTATAAAGCAATTGATTGTATTCTGTGTTTTGGTTCAAGTGGTGAAGAGTGGATCAGATCTGTGTCAAAACGGCGCTTTTATAGATTCAATTACTTTTGTACCGAAAAACACACTGTTTTTCTTCACGAGTGGAGGTTATTATTGGTTTCTCCCAAACAATCAGATTAAGACCAGAACTCCGGGAACAGCTCTGCCATCGGGTTTCCAGAAGGGAGACGCGGCTGTGTATGTGGACTACACCGCTATCAACGGCTGTAACGGCACTGTAATGGCCCGCAAAGTGATCCATTTGATCGAAATGACACCCAATGGGAATCAAGTGCTCACATATGACACCGAAACCGACATCTGGACGGCAAACGCCACTGACTTGAAGGCCGATCCCATCTTCTCTTCGGCTAAACTTGATTTGGACGACAGAATTGACGCCACATTTCTCTACGACAAGACAAATGTGGTTATCTTTCAGCAAAGACAGTACGCTGTGGTCGACATCACCAATATCTGCGCCACTCCGCCCTCTTCTGTGGGATTAGCGCCCAATTTGGTGGTCGATATCGCCAAAGGTATTGATGGCGCAAAAAAGGTGAACGCCATCACATATGGCTATGGACAGGCACCCAACACAACCACACACAATGCAAACATATCATTGTTTCTGTTTCAACACCCGTCGTATTGGGAACTCGGCTACCCCTCCCTCTCTAACGGCAAATTGACGGCTTATTTGGGCACTGAATTGGATTTGTTTAAATCTTTCTTCCTTTTCGACAAAACTCAGGGCAATTGTTCAGCCAATGCTCCGCCCACTGAAGCCCCGTTACTACCGCTCAACACTACCAGTCTTATGCCATCCACACCTCTTTCAACACAATCTGAAGCCCAAACTATTGCCGAAACTGAGTCCCACATCGTTAGTACTTCGCTTCCAACCAAAGCCGACAGCAAACCATATGTTTGGATAATTATTGTCATTATAGTTGTGATCGTAATATTGATTGCCATTGTTTTGTGCGTCTGTTTGTCGGCCAAAAAGTCATCGGACAAAGAAGCGGGCGCTGAGACGGGTTCGGGACCGCCTGATGCGGGCGCTGACGCAACCGGTGGCCCACCATTGGCTCAAACCTCGACAATGGGTTCGAGTCCGTCGGCTATGTCTGTCCGATCGACTACAGGAGCCGGCGGTGCGGGCGCTGCAGATACGCCCTCATTAGCCAAAGAGTCAAACATGGATTCGAGTCCTTCAGCGATGTCTGTGCGCTCGACTGTCGCACCGACTCCTCAAGTGTCCTGAACTTTGTCTCACTCTCGACACAATGTTTTAACAAACATAAACATTTGAAATATTCTGTTATCAAAATTAATTATTTTTTCATTTAATTAAATTTCTGATTTTAATTTCCTATTATTTTATTTGATATAAAAATGATTTTTAAATATTATATTTCATTAATTTGTATTTTAATAAAACTTTGACAAAATTTATTTGATTCTTAATTGCAAAATATTCAACAACAAATTCTGGGTTTTTAAAAGTGACATAAATATCTATTATATAAGTTTGTGTTAATTTCATGTAAACAGTTATCGTATTGTTAATCAATGAAATAAAAAACAGCACAAACTCATAATTTATGTGCCATTCGTGAAACTTTATTTGATTTAATTTATAAAAGTATTACAATTATAATTACTGTAATTTATATTTATTGATTAATTTTATTAATTAGATGT